CTTGTCCCTTCTTCGAGAGTTCCGTTCTGTCTTCTATTGCGCTCAACCATATTTGGGTCGCACAGCGAACATCACGCACCACATTGACACCGGTACTCATGCTCCCTTACGCCAACGACCATATCGAGTTTCAGCGGAAGAGCGCCGTATTATCAACGAACAAGTCGACGATATGCTCAAGCGTGGTGTCATCCAGCCATCGCAGAGCCCTTGGTCGTCCCCTGCTGTACTTGTGCGCAAAAAGGATGGGTCTATCCGATTCTGTGTCGACTACCGCCGGCTCAATAAGATAACTCGGAAGGATGTGTACCCGTTGCCACGCATCGAGGACGCTCTCGATTGCTTGCAAGGGGCAGAATATTTCTCCTCCTTAGATTTACGCTCAGGATATTGGCAAGTTCCAATGGCTGATCCTGACCGATCGAAGACTGCATTTGTAACACCTGATGGGCTGTATGAGTTTAACGTCATGCCGTTTGGACTCTGCAACGCCCCAGCTACCTTCGAACGGATGATGGACACCATCCTTCGCGGCTACAAGTGGAACACGTGCCTTTGCTACCTAGACGATATCGTCGTTTTTTCTCGCGACTTTTCCACTCACCTTGTTCGTCTTCGTGCTATTCTCACGTGTCTCACCTCTGCTGGCCTTCAACTTAACATCAAGAAGTGCAATTTTGCCGCACGTCAGCTCACCATACTGGGTCACGTCGTCTGCAAAGAGGGTGTTCTCCCGGATCCGGCGAAACTCCGCGCCGTGGCCGACTATCCAAAGCCCAATTCCATCAAGACGCTTCGAAGTTTTATCGGCCTGTGCTCACACTTTCGTCGATTTGTGCGCAACTTCTCTTCCATCATCGCGCCTCTTACCAACCTGTTGACAACTTCCAAAGGCATTTCTGCTTGGTCAAAAGAGTGCGACGAATCCTTCACCGCGCTTCGGCGCTTATTATTATCACCTCCAATACTACGTCATTTTGACCCTGATGCGCCTACGGAGGTCCACACCGACGCCAGTGGTGTCGGTCTTGGTGCTGTATTGGCTCAACGAAAACCAGGGTACCAAGAATACGTGGTCGCTTACGCGAGTCGAACCCTCAAGAAAGCCGAGTGTAATTATTTCGTCACGGAGAAAGAGTGCCTCGCATTTGTCTGGGCTTTGACGAAGTTCCCCCCATACCTTTATGGCCGCCCTTTCGAAGTCGTCACGGACCACCACGCTCTATGCTGGCTATCATCGCTCAAAGACCCGTCGGGGCGCCTTGGTCGTTGGGCGCTTCGCCTACAGGAATACGACATTCGTGTTGTATACCAATCCGGCCGCAAGCACTCCGACGCTGATGCGCTATCCCGCTCGCCGCTACCGGCTGACCCAGCCTCCTCGTCACCTTCTTCAGCTGTCATAACACCAATCGACTTCACAGACATGGCATCGGAACAACGCAAAGATGTGTGGATTTCCCAACTCCTCGCCTTTTTGACTGATCCGTTAGCTAATTTAGTGTCAAGAACTATGCGCCGTCAAGCCACACATTTCGCTATTCGAGACGACCTACTCTATCGGCGGAATTACACGTCTGAAGGTAGAAAGTGGCTGTTAGTGATACCCAACCACATGCGCTCGGAAATCTGTACTGCTTTCCACAACGACCCGCAAAGCGCTCACGCTGGCGCTCTCAAAACGTACAACCGTCTACGTCAGCGGTACTACTGGCGCGGCATGTACACATTTGTCCGCAAGTACGTACGTGCTTGTACTGCATGCCAGCGACGTAAAGTCCCACCTCAATTCCCTGCCGGTACACTTCAGCCTCTGCCTTGTCCAGCGCGTCCGTTTGACCGCGTCGGTATCGACTTATACGGACCACTTCCCACGTCGTCTTCTGGAAATAGGTGGATAATTGTCGGCGTGGACCACCTCACGCGTTACGCGGAGACAGCAGCACTACCCGCAGCAACCGCGAGGGAAGTTGCGTTTTTCATCTTGCGCAACTTTGTTCTTCGCCATGGTGCTCCTCGCGAACTTTTGAGCGACCGGGGGCGTGTTTTCTTGTCTGACGCCATTCAAGCGTTGCTCGCTCAGTGCAACATGGTTCATCGCCTGACGACAGCATATCACCCGCAGACGAATGGCCTCACAGAACGATTTAATCGCACTCTCGGTGATATGTTGACGATGTACACAGCTTCAGACCAGACTAATTGGGACACTGTCCTTCCATTCGTCACGTATGCGTATAACACCGCTACGCACCCGACAAAAGGATTCTCCCCTTTCTTTCTGTTGTACGGACGCGAACCATCGTGCACGCTGGACGCTATCCTCCCATACACGCCCGACTCCTCTGAGTACACTGCAATTTCTGATGTTGCCAGGTACGCAGAAGATTGCAGACGATTGGCCCGTTCTCTGACAACCGAGGACCAAGGCCACCAGAAGCTACGGCTTGACACCGGCCGACATCTCTCTACTTTCACGACTGGTGCTCTCGTTTGGCTCTGGGTTCCACCGAGCACTCCTGGCCTTTCGTCGAAATTACTGGCACGATACCACGGGCCCTACCGCATTCTCGCCCGTACGTCACCCGTCAATTATGAGATTGAGCCATTGACACAGTCTCATGACTTACGCCGTCGTGGCCGAGAAATTGTGCATGTGAGTCGCCTGAAGCCGTATTACGACCCCGCTATAGTGACTACGCCTTAAGTCGCCAGGTTGGCTACGCTATTCACCGGGGGCCAATGTAGGGAACTATGCGAACGACGAAGAAGCAGCATGAAACGGCAATCCGCAGCGTTGGTGCACGCGCGACCCGAGTTTGCGTTTGTTTTGTATTTTCGGCCTGTTGGCGTTCCTCGCTCTTCTGGCGTTCCTCGGCCTTCCAGTAGGTCTGTACGTGAATAAACTGCGTGACACAGGTATGTACCCGGGATTTCCGGGAGGGTGGAATTGTTGCCTCCAAGCAGCTGTGTCGCACTACAACAGGTCACATACCAGCACTCTTGGGTGTAGCCTTTAATACGTACGTCACCTTCGGGGAGCCTGTTTATTTACGTGCGAATGACATACTAGGCATATCAGAGTAGCTTCACTTGAGGGAAACAAAGAAGACGTCTGAACAGCGAAAGAAGCACAGAGAAGCGATTAAAAAGCATTGGAAAACGTCAACAAAAATATTCCCGTGATAGCACTCGGCGATACGGTTCTGGTGCCGAAAGGTTACGGTTGCATAAACACAAAGCTTGCCACAACAGAAGGAGTGCTCAAGACCATCGAATACAAGACGGAAAACGATTTGATGAAAACAGCAGCCATTTTCAACGTCATCCCTTATTTGTAGCGGAGGGATGAAATAAAAAGCCGGAGAGTGCAGTGGGCTGATACTACGGACAGATTTGGCGGGATTCAGGGAAAGATGAAAAAGAAATATAATGGGATCCTGCTTCTATGTGTCGTTGTCGTGGAATTTTATGTATACGGGGATAATGTTCTCCTCAATGCTTGCACCATTGCTAGCACAGATTCATCTAGTTAGTAACGTGGCCTCTCTGCCAAAGTTTTTGCGTGTATGGTTTAAAGTCAGCTGAAAAAAAAAAAAAAAACTCAGGTGTGCCCCAGTAAACAACTTTTGAAAGCAGTCTTCCTAGCAGGGCATAATCTTTATTCCATTGACTATGAACTAATCATGACTACGCGAATGCATTTGAGACGCACGCACTACCATAGCTGAGAGGCTGGTCTGTTCAAAATAAGTATATTTCTTAAGTGATATCCCACACATCACGGGCGCATTCTTTGAGGACCTTATAAGACGATTGATTTAGAGAACGCCGAAGAAGCTTACACAAAGCTCGTGGAACTTTGTGGAGAACTAAAGCGATCCATCTTAAACCTAAAGTTTTGTTTTAGACTTTTTTGTGACAAATCGTTTACTATTTTGACTATGGTAAATGTAAGGCAGCAAAACATTTATTCGGCATTTGACCCCTAGGTTGAATGTATTTAAATAATGGTCTTTCTAATTTACCTAGGTTTTAGGAACTGATAGGCAGCTCTTGATTTCTGAAGCCCTTTTGACTAAGGTCCTCGCGTTAGTAGATACGTTTGTTTGGTCTGAAGAGCTAGCGTGGAGTCGACGAGCCTTGAGCGTCCAAATTAGTTTTTGCACATTCTTTTGTCCGTCTTGATTGCGTTTTATTCCTTCCGAAAACGTGCATCAAGCCGCCCAATAAAAAGTTATGCTTGAATACAATAGAAGAGTACAAAAAAGCTTGCTTGATCGTACGTATTTAAATCATGAAGCATAAAGTATTAATTCACCTTTTTAATAACACGTATGATAACCTCAACGAAGGGGTGGATAGCAGCTCTACTAACTTGGCTCTTACGGATATGAAGTGATTGTCTATTCGTGCAATGCGTTACCGGCCAGTGAAGAAAATTCATGCACGTGACGCCTGAAAGAACGCAAACGAAATGAACAGAAGATTGAGTAGCAGGCATACTGTGAATAGGATTAGATAATGCAAAACCACTTTCTGGGTGATAGTGGATTAAAAAAAATATGCGCTAGCTTTATGTATGTAGGTTTATACCACGAAAAATGAGCGAGAGCGAAGAAGAGATAGAGGCAAGTATACCATCTAATCTGGAGCCACTGAGCTTCTAAATTATATCTTTAGTTTTTGGCACCCTTTTTAAACCTCTACCGTTTATACGCATATCTCTTTGCATAGAGCTTGCGCTTGAGCCTGTATAATTACGAGCCAGCCTAAGCGCCTCCTTTTCAAGATATGTTGACCCATAGGTAGAAGAAAGAGGGCAGAAAAATTGTGGTTTGCTGCACCTGTTTTCCGAGGCAAACAGGAATGATGAATGGAGCGCGGGCGACCCCGACTCTTTTAGTTAATCACTCTCGGGGAACGAACAACGCAAGCCGGTCCATCTGTGCGTAAATATTCCATTATGTGGTGAAGAGTATTTCATCATCGTCTCGCAGGTGGTCCGCTGGGCACGTCCCGAGTGGCAGGGCAGGGCCTACTTCCACATGGTGGGCTACCCGTTCTCGCTGAAGGTGACGGGACTGCGGTACGAGGACACCGGCGAGTACGTCTGTGTCGTCACTTTCCGGGACGGCACCGGCCGCAACGCCAGCGTGCGCCTACAGGTCGTCGGTAAGGAGGATGAACCCTTTGTTTTTGGATTTTGGACGTTCAAGCCCACATATCAATCAATCAATCAATCTTGCGTTCTTACAGGACCATCACATTAAAATGACACTAAAAGGAAACAACGGTTTGCTTAGATTGACAAAATGCAATGTGATAGCATTAATGCTAAAGGTTTCATTATCAAGAGGTCATTATTAACAGAGGCTTAAAGTTTCATTTTTACGTTTCACGCCAAAATCTTTGTTTGTGACGTAAGAAATTTCTAAACGTGTTTTTCACAGTTTCACGACATTGGCTCAAAGAAATTTTCCTAAACTTCATACTATGTACTATGACAACTTATGACAACAATATGCACTAGACGCAAAATCAGCAACATCCCATGTACTTCCCCTAGCATTATGTTCTGTTAGTGCTCATCAATATTGTGTATAACAAAGGAAATCTGCCCTTAAAACTACACTTTCCTTCTTTCGTATCGAGGGTCTTCTTCTGGCCGACTTGATGCGTAGAGGTGTTATGCGAAGAAGTATTGGTCAGATTCTATGTTGTAATAAGATCTCGTACGACATGACGCCAAACAGGTGAAAAGGAGCGTTCACACTCGCCGTAATGGCAACAGATCTCGCTGACCAACGCTCCTTCGTTTAATTGTACATTCATGCCCTATTGAGTGAACGAGGGGATTACCGCCACCGTAGCTTAGTAGTAGAGCATCGGAAAGGTGCGCTTACACAGGCACACACACACACACACACACACACACACACACACACACACACACACCACACACACACACACACACACACACACACACACACACACACACACACATATATATATATATATACGTAGATTATAGAGTCTGGCTTCGGTTGCCGTAAAATTAAGGAAAAATAGGTATACGCCACTAAACAGCTGTTTATTGGTGACGTTTCGATCGGAGACCGATCTTCATCAGTCTGATGAAGATCGGTCTCCGATCGAAACGTGACTAATAAAAGTTTTTAGGTGCGTATACTCATTTTGCTTATATATATATATATATATATATATATATATATATATATATATATATATATATATATATATATATATATATATATATATATATATATATATATATATATATATTGTTAAGGCGTTTATTGCCGGCAACCAGCGAGAATATATAATGGCGACAGTCACGGCCAAGCACGGGCTCTCAGCGCGAGCGGCGTCCTTGTTGGGTAGCCCCACTAGGAGGTACTCGAGAGTTTGACCCATTTCGGAGTTCGGAGGCTTCGCTACAATTACCCCGGGGTCGAAGAGGGAGCCGCCTGGCGACCTAACAGCTTGTTACTATGAGCGGGTCATAATAAGCCTTCAGGCGCTTCACGTTGACGATGTCGCGCACACGGCGGCGCATGTCCGAAGATTGTTCAACGGGTTCGATCAGATAGTTGACGGGAGAGGTGCGCTCGATGACACGGTAGGGGTCTTCGTATTTGGAAAGTAGTTTGGAAGAGAGGCCAGCTACAGAGGTCGGGATCGAGAGCCATACAAGCGCACCAGGAAGGAACGTGGGCACAGAAGTGGCGGAGCCATCACGAATACTCTTCTGCTGCTCTTGCTCTTGCGTCGTAAAAGTCTTGGCAAGCTCGCCACACTCTTCAGCGAGCCTGGCTGTCTCGGATATAGGTGTACACTCAGATGGATCCAGCGCGTACGGGAGTATCGTGTCCATGGTGTGCGACGGGTGCCTTCCGTACAGCAAGTAGAAAGGTGAAAAACCGGTCGTGCTCTGAGGGGCAGTGTTGTAGGCGTAGGTGACGAAGGGTAGTATATTATCCCAATTAGTGTGGTTGGCAGCGACGTACATAGAAAGCATGTCGCCGAGGGTGCGGTTAAAGCGTTCGGTGAGGCTATTCTTCTGTGGGTGGTAAGCAGTAGCTTTGCGATGGACAGAATTGCACTCCGTCAGAATGGCTACGACGACTTCCGACAAGAAGACACGGCCTCGATCGCTCAGAAGCTCTTGGGGCGGTCCGTGGCGCAGTATGAATTGATGCAGCAGGAAGGACGCAACATCGCGCGCAGTAGCCGCAGGGAGAGCGGCGGTTTCGGCGTATCGTGTTAAATGGTCAACGGCAACGATGGCCCAGCGGTTACCAGCCGACGTCAGAGGAAGTGGTCTATACAAATCAATACCTACGCGCCCAAAGGGACGGTCAGGGCAAGGTAACAGTTGCAGACCGGCGTGCAACATGTGTGCTGACGGTTTACGGCGTTGGCAAGCGAGGCAAGAGCGAACGAACTGCTGCACGTAGCGGTACATCCCGCGCCAGAAGTAGCGTTGTCGAATGCGGTGGTAAGTCTTGGATACCCAAGAGTGCGCACATTGCGGATCAGAATGGAAAGATTCACATATCTCCAACCGCAGACTGCAGGGTATGACGAGTAACCACTGCCGGCCATCGGAGTCGTAATTGCGTCGGTGTAGGAGGCCGTCACGGATGGCGAAATGGTGAGCTCGACGACGCAAGGCACGCGTGGATGGGGCTGTGGAAGGATCAGAGAGCAAGGCGATCAGCAGGGCGATTCAATTATCCTTTCGCTGTTCGGTAGCGAGGATGTCAACATCGGATGGCAGATACAGCCATTAAGGTTACTGAGCAGAGCACGCCGTCTTGAGGTAGAGGGGAGCGTGAGAGGGCATCAGCGTCAGCATGCTGGCGTCCGTTGTGGTACAGCACACGGATGTCGTAGTCTTGTAAGCGAAGAGCCCAACGGGCGAGACGGTCTGAGGGATCCTTCAATGATGAAAACCAGCACAGTGCAAGATGGTCGGTGACGACATCGAATGGGCGACAATACATATAAGGTCGAAACTTTGTAAAGGCCCAGACGATCACCAGGCACTCTTTCTTCGTGACGGTTTAGTTTGTCTCGGCTCTCGTGAGCGTAGGGCTTGCATATGCTACGACATATTCAGGGAATCCGGGTTTTCGCTGTGCCAGGACAGCGCGGAGGCCTACACCGCTGGCGTCCGTGTGCACCTCCGTTGGGGCTGTAGGGTCGTAGTGGCGTAGAATGGGAGGCAACGTCAACAAATGGCGGAGCTTCGCGAACGCGTCGTCGCACTCGGATGACCACGAATTGAGGGGCCCGTTACTTCCAAGGAGCTTCGTCAGCGGTGCTAAGATCGTGGCAAAGTTTCGCATGAAGCGTCGGAAGTATGAGCACGGCCCACGAAACTACGCAGTTCTTTGACAGTTGCAGGTTTGGGGAATTCGGCCATGGCCCGATGCTTGGCAGGATCAGGAAGAATACCGTCTTTGGACATGACGTACCCCAGTATGGTGAGTTTCCGTGCTGCAAAACGGCACTTTTTCAGATTTAGTTGCAAGCCGGCATTGCTCACACGTGCGAAAACTTCTATCAGACGTTGGAGATGCGTGAAGAAATCCGGAGCAAAGACAATGACATCGTCGAGGTAACACAAATACGTGTACCATTTCAAGTTGCGCAGAATGGTGTCCATCATGCGCTCAAAGGTCGCAGGTGCATTACACAGACCAAACGGCATGACGTTGAACTCGTACAAGCCGTCTGGCGTGACGAAGGCGGTCTTTGGTCGAGCGTCGTCAGCCATGGGTACTTGCCAGTACCCCGAGCGCAGATCAAGAGAAGAAAAGAAATCGGCTCCATCAAGGCTGTCAATCACGTCATCGATGCGTGGCAGTGATAAACATCCTTGTGAGTGATCTTATTGAGCCGTCTTTAGTCCACACAGAACCTCACAGAACCGTCTTTCTTCGCAACAAGAACAACAGGAGACACCCATGGACTGTCCAAGGGCCGAATAACGTCGCGTCGGAGCATATCGTCAACCTGATAATTAATTACTCGACGTTCAGCTGGCGACACGCGATATGGTTGTTGCCGTAAAGGTGGATGGGCACCAGTGTCGATGCGATGCGTAACAACGGACGTGCGACCGAAAGAACTTCGCCCGACATTGAAAGAGGAACGATATTCTTGCAACAGGTCCAGAAGTTGGGAACGCTGTACGGCCGTAAGGTTGTCAGCGATAGAGGGGCCAAATACATCAGCAGATGACGAAACAGAAGTGGAAACAGCATTTATGGTAAGCGACCTGGGACAGCGCGTGTCATCGGGTACGTCCAGGGCTTGTGCGTCGTCGACTGGTTACACTCAGCCGAGACATTCCCCTCGAAGCGAGGTAACAGTGTACGGGAAAGGGTTGGTTACAAAAATAGCAGCGTTGCCCTGGTTGACCTGCATGGTCGCGAAAGGTATTAGTAACCCTTTCCTGCTACAAGCGCGGTAAGATGACGAAACGAGTGCAATGGTGTCCGAGAGACCGGCGCAGTAGACAGACACAGCCAACGTCGAGTTTGGAGGCACTGTTGTATCGTCTTTCGTTAGAATCTTGCTCAGTGTCGAGGGACTGTCTTCTGGCGTCAAATGCGAAAAGGGTGAGAGCTCAATTTCGGCGGCGGCACAATGAATGACGGCGTCATGGCGGGAGAGAAAGTCCCATCCCAGGATGACGTCATGAGAGCATGCTGGAATGATGATGAACTGGGCGACAACAGAACGTCCTGCATGACAACGCGAGCTGTGCACCCTGCTGTAGGATGAATACGATGCAAACTTGCAGTACGGAGGGGCAACCCAGAAAGTGGCGTCGTCACTTTTCGAAGTAAGCTGCAGAGTTTTTCGTCCATAACTGATACGGAAGCTCCAGTGTCAATAAGAGCCGATGCACAAACACCATCCACAAGCACGTCAATGACATTCGAGGGGCTGCTCTGAGGGCTTTCACATTGCGATAGCGTCCTTTTCCCGCTCATGAGCAGCCACACTTGGCCGCATGAGGGACAGGGAACGACGTCGTGGAGATGGCGATCTTCTAGATGAACCTGGGCGAGACCGAGGTGGCATAGACAGCAGTTCTTCGCGATAAGGGCGGCTGAGTTGGCCAGCAACAGGTGAAG